CCCCAATGTCCCCCCCACTCCCTCCCAGCGCCCCCAATCCCTCCCAGTGCCCCTCCCAGTGCCCCGTACCCTGCTGCACCAGCTCCCTGAGCAGCCTGCGCGTGGCCGGGCCCTGCTGCCGCCACCACCGTGCCAGGAACGCCACCTCGGCGTAGACGAAGCGCCGCGAGGGCTCGGCGGCCAGCTGGGCCACCACCGAGTCCAGGATGTACTGCACGCCCGCGTGCTGCTCCTGGTTCCGCACTGCGGGCACGGGCACCGTGAGCCCCGGGGCACCCCGAAACCGGGCACCCCGAAACCCCGGGCACCCCGAAACCAGGGCACCCCGAAACCCCGGGCACCCCGAAACCAGGGCATCCCGAAACCCTGGGCACCCCGAAACCGGGGCACCCCGAAACCGGGGCACCCCGAAACCGGGCACCCCGAAACCCTGGGCACCCCGAAACCAGGGCACCCTGAAACCGGGGCACCCCGAAACCCTGGGGTGGGGACACAGGGGCACAGTGAGCCCCAGGCAACCCGAAACCAGGCACCCCGAAACCGGGGCACCCCGAAACCCTGGGGTGGGGACACAGGGGCACAGTGAGCCCCAGGCACCCCGAAACCAGGGCACCGCGAAACCCCGGGCACCCCGGAACCCCGGGCACCCCGAAACGCCGGGATGGGGGCACGGGGGGCACCGGGAAACCCCAAAAATCCCGGCATGGGGGCACGGGGGGCACCGTGAGCCCCGAGCCCCGGGCACCCCGAAACCGGGCACCCCGAAACCCCGGGCACCCGAAACCAGGGCACCCCGAAACCAGGGCACGCCAAAAACCGGGGCACCCCGAAACCCCGGGATGGGGGCACGGGGGGCACTGGGAAACCCCAAAAATCCCGGCATGGGGGCACGGGGGGCACCGTGAGCCCCGAGCCCCGGGCACCCCAAAAACCCCGGGATGGGGGCACGGGGGGCACCGTGAGCCCCGGGGCACACCGAAACCCCGGGCACCCCGAAACCGGAGCGCCCCAAAAACCCCGGGGCACCCCAAAAACCCCGGGCACCCCGAAACCCCGGGCACCCCGAAACCGGGGCACCCCGAAACCGGGGCACTCCAAAAACCCCGGGATGGGGCCATGGAGGGGCACCGTGAGCCCTGAGCCCCAGGCACCCCGAAACCGGGGCACCCCGAAACCCGGGTCACCCCAAAAACCCCGGGATGGGGACACGGAGGCACCGGTGAGCCCAAAACCCGGGTCACCCCAAAACCCTGGGGTGGGGACACAGGGGCACCGTGAGCCCCGAGCCCCGGGCACCCCAAAAACCCCGGGCACCCCGAAACCCGGGTCACCCCAAAACACCCGGGGAACCCCGAAACCGGGGTCACCCCAAAACCCCGGGGTGGGGGCACGGGGGGCACTGTGAACCCAGAACACGGGGCACCCTGAAACCCGGGGCACCCAAAAACCGGGGTCACCCCAAAACTCCGGGGTGGGGGTACGGGGGGCACCGGGAGACCCCAAAAACCCCAGGATGGGGACACCGTTAGCCCAAAAACCCTGGAGGGGGGGGGGGGGGGGGGAAGCATGAGCCCGGAACCCGGGTGACCCCAAAACCCGGGTCACCCCAAAGACCCCGGATCACCCGGGGGGGGGGGGGGGGGGGCAGCATGAGCCCGGAACCCGGGTGACCCCAAAACCCGGGTCACCCCAAAGACCCCGGATCACCCCAAAAACCCTGGGGTGGGGGCATAGCGTGAGCCCAAAATCCGACGGTGGGGGCAGGGGGGCACTAGTTCACCCCAAAAACCCGGGGGTGAGGGCACAGGGGTATCTTTTGGACACGGGGGCACCGGGTGACCCCAAAACCCTGGGGTGGGGATACAGGGGCACCGGGTCACCCCGAAACCGGGATGGGGACACGGGGGACAGCGGGTGACCCCAAAACCCCGGGGCAGCGCTGGGGGATACTCCAGATGGGGGGGCACAGGTGACCCCAAAACCCAGGGTGAGGCCACAGTGGCACCTTGGGGACATCTGTAGGTGGCCCTGGGGGGTGCTGGCCCCCGGAGGGGACACGCACAAAGTACCACGTGACAAACCCAAAGTGACAAAGAGCAGCCACAGGTGTCACTCAGTGCCCCCCTGCCACGTCACCGCCACCCCCCCCCACAGCTGTCCCTCGCTCAGGTGACACCACCCGTCCCCCGCGGTGTCCCCACGCACCCCCATAGTAGTACTGATCCACCGTCTTGAGCCAGCCCACGTCGTCGTGCGAGTGCGGCACCAGGTGCACGTTCAGCATGTCCGGCCGGGTCGGGGGGCACGACTGGGGGGGTTCGGGGGGGGCTCGGACCGGGCCGGGCCCCCCGGGACCGCCCCCCCCGCGGCGCGGCCGTTGAGCTCCGGACGCGGTTGCCAAAGCAATGCTCGCAGTTCCCGTTTCCTCAGCGTCCCCAGTGCCGCCGGTTCCCCCAGTTCCCGTCTCCTCAGCCCCCCACAGCTCTCCCAGTTCCCGTTCCCTCACACCGCCCCGCTGCCCCCCTCAGCCCTTCCCGGTGTCCCCAGCCTACCGCAGCTCCCGTTATCCCGCCCCCACCGCCCGCCCCAATGTCCCCGGGCAATCCCAGTGCTCCCAGTCCGTCTGTCCGGGGCTCCCGGTCCCACCTGGTACCCGCAGCCCGCGGCCGCCCCGCTCAGGAGCAGCAGCAGCGGCAGCGCCGCCGCTCCGGGCACCGCCATGACAGCGGCGCTCACGTGACCGCGCCCTCACATGACAGGCGGGGGTCGCCCCGCCCCCTTGTATGCCGCAGCCAATGGGTGGCAGGGAAAAGGAGTTGAGGCCACGCCCCGCGTTCTGATTCGCTGATGCTGCTCTAAGGGGAGGAGTGTAAGGAGGGCAGCACGGGACCGACAACAACCGGGAGCCAATGAGGAGGAGGAGAGCGCGTGATTGACAGCTCTCTGGGAGGGGCGTTTGCAACGGCGGGAAACGACCAGTGGCCAATGAAGAGTGGCGGCTCCCGAGGCCCCGCCCACGACGAGTCCCCCTCAGAGCCCCCTCAGACCCTCAGAGCTCCTGAATCCCCTCAAAGTCCCTTCAGACCATGCTCAGAGCTCCTCAGAGCCCCCTCAGACCTCCTGAATCCCCTCAAAGCCCCTTCAGAGCCTTCGAGTCCCCTCAGAGCCCCCTCAGACCTTCAGAATCCCCTCAAAGCCCCTTCAGACCCTGCTCAGAGCTCCTCAGAGGCCCCTCAGACCCTCTCAGAGCCCCTTCAGACCTCCTGAATCCCCTCAGTGCCCCCTCAGACCTCCCAAATCCCCTCAAAGTCCCTTCAGAGCCTCCAAGTCCCCTCAGAGCCCCCTCAGACCTTCTCAGAGCCCCCTCAGACCTCCCGACTCCCCTCAGAGTCCCCTCAGAGCCCCCTCAGACCCTCAGAGCCCCCTCAGACCTCCCGAATCCCCTCAGAGTCCCCTCAGAGCCTGTTCAGAGCCCCCTCAGACCCCCCGAGTCCCCTCCGAGCCCCCTCCGAGCCCCCTCAGA